TTTTCCAAACTGATAAACACTCTAATCCAATGGATCTTAAAAGGTCAACAAACCCAAAGCACAAGAGCATGCAGAACACTACACGGTAGCCAAGTCTCATGATGAAATTGCTCAAAAGCGGCTGGCCCAAAGGTAGTGACTTATCTCAATTGATTGTTCATAGTCAGTTACAGATCGAACTCCTTGTTCTACTCTTTCCCCCCTTCTCACTACTGCACTTGACTAGTCTAAAAAAAATGCTCAAAATCAGTGACAGAGCAAAATATTTTAAATAATTTTTTAAAATTTTTGTGAAGAATGGGGTCTTGCTATATTGCCCAGGCGGGTCTGGAACTCATGGACTCAATCTGTCCTCCCACTTCTGCCTCCTGCCTCCCTAAGTGCTGGGAGTACAGGCATGAGCCACTGCACCTAGCCAGAGCAAAATATTCAATGCAAGCAGGAAGGAAATAAAGAGACAACATATAGAGGAACAAAGATAAGGGCAACAGCAGATGTCTCATACAGACAATATAAGCAAGAAAATAGTGGAGAAGTAACTCCAAAGTGCTGAAAGAAAAAAACTCAAGCTAGATTCCTAGATTTATGGAACATCAAATGTGAAGGCAAAATAATGACTGTTTTCACGTATACAAAAGCTGAAGGAAGCATCAGCAGACTAGCACTACAAAGTCCTCTGGCAGAAGAAATGACGCCAGATGGAAATGTGGAACCACATCAGGGTCTCTTCCCCCTTGGCACTGTTGACATGTGGGGCTAATTTGTTATGGGGATGCTCAGTAGTATCCCAGAAGCACCACTGCTCCTGTTATGGCAACCAAAATTGTCTCTAGGCACTACCAAAGGACCCTTGGAAGGAAAAATTACCCCTGCTTGAGAATCACTGTGTACAATGGATGGCTTTCATATTTTCCATCTCTATCCTTCTGAGCAATAATCAGAGAATTCCTAGGGCCAGGCATTTAGTTCATGAATTCACTCCTCAGTTATACCTCTTCTGCTCTTCAACCCATCTATTGAGGGGTTCTAAAACACAATAAACCTTATTTTTTAGAGGAGTTTTAGGTTCACTTGAAAATTAAGCAGTTACTGTATATGCCCTGCCTGTGCACACACACTTCCCCCACTGTCAACATCCACTGTGGTATTTTTGTTAACAACCTTCATTGACACATCATCATCACCCATAGTCCATAGTTTACATTAGGATTCATTCTTGGTGTTGATTTTCTGTGAATTTTGGTAAATATATTACATGTATCCACCATTATAGTATACAAAATAGTTCATTGCCCTAAAAATTCTGCTCTCTGCCTATGCATTCTTTCCTCCCTGAAACCCCTGACAACTGTTGAGTTTTTGAACTTTAAGTCTTAGCTTTAATGTCCAGTATCTCTTTTCATTGTCTGTTCTTGTTTCATGACTGCCTTTTTTTAAAAATAAAATATCCATCAAGATCTTGCTGTATGGGAGACTTACTCTGATAGCTCTATTAACTTTTCCCCTTAGGTGAGAATTCTATTTGGTGTGTGTGCTATCTTCATGGAGATGGCATTCCTCAAGTGTTTGGCCACTATGGGGCACTTGTGTTTGTATTAGCGACATCCTGGTAGGTCACTGTTGCATGTGTGACCAGTATGCTTGGAATGGTGGCAGCCGCTGCTGCATGTTGCACCCTAAACTGTTTTCAGCTGGGCTACCTCAGCACCTGGGCTTCATGTTTGTACTCAGCCCTTTCTGGGTATCACCAGCCATGCTGGACACTATCTTGTCTGACCACCACTACACTATGTCCATCTGGAAACACAAACCTTATTGCTGCCTAAGTGGCCCAAGGAGTGCTTGAGAGGAATCATCACCTCGTCCGCTGTCCTTACACTCCCATCCTTACAGCCTTCCAAACAGATGTAGAGAATGAACTCTCCCCTACCTATCAACTTCCCTAGCCACCTTCGCTCTTACCTGCATGCCCTATCATCTCCTCCAGGACTTCGGCTCTTCTTGCATGACCTGTTAGCTACCTCCCTTTAGCCTATGAACATGTTCAGTCTCTATTTGCCCTTAATCTTTCTTTTTTTTGAGACAGAGTCTCACTTTGTCACGCAGGCTAGAGTGCAGTGGCATAGTTTCAGCCTCACTGCAACCTCCGCCTCCCATGCGATTCTCCTGCCTCACCCTCCTGAGTAGCTGGGATTACAAGCATGCGCCACTACACCCAGCTAATATTTGTACTTTTAGCAGAGACAGGGGTTTTGCCATGTTGGCCAGGCTGGTCTCAAACCCCTAACCTAGGTGATCTGCTCGCCTTGGCCTCTCAAAATGCTAGGAGGACAGGCGTGAGCCACTGTGCTCCCAGCCTGGCCTTAATCCTATACACCTTTGTAACTCGTCTTTTCTCAACTGTTTTGAGCGTTGACTGCATTCTTCATTCTTTCATATCCATCTTTGCACTCTAACTTCCTGCTTTCCCAGGACTAAGAATTCTCTTGCTAGTTTATCAGTGCCTGCTGTTATGTGCAGTAGACTTCGGACTGCCTCTCAGCCCCACAGTACACTATCTGTCCTCTTGACTTCTTTTGACATTCCTTCACAATTCCCTTTCCTCTCCTTCTCTTTTGACTGTTCTCAGGCTCCTGTGCATTCATTTGCTTTTTTTTTTTTTTTTTTTTGAGACAGAGTTTCACTGTCACCCAGTTGGAGTGCAGAAGTGTGATCTCGGCTCACTGCAACCTCCACCTCCCAGGTTCAAGCCATTCTCCTGCCTCAGCCTCCCGAGTAGCTGGGATTACAGGCATACACCACCATGCCCAGCTAACTTTGTATTTTTAGTAGAGACCAGGTTTCTCCAAGTTGGTCAGGCTGGTCTTGAACTCCCGACGTCGGATGATCCACCTGCCTCGGCCTCCAGTAGTGCTGATTACAGGCCTGAGCTGCCGCACCCAGCACCATTCGCTTTTTTTTTTTTTGTGACGGAGTTTCGCTCGTTACCCAGGCTGGAGTGCAATGGCGCGATCTCGGCTCACCGCAACCTCCGCCTCCTGGGTTCAAGCAATTCTCCTGCCTCAGCCTCCTGAGTAGTTGGGATTACAGGCATGCGCCACCATGCTCAGCTAATTTTTATATTTTTAGTAGAGATGGGGTTTCACCATGTTGACCAGGATGGTCTCGATCTCTTGACCTCGTGATCCACCCACCTCGGCCTCCCAAAGTGCTGGGATTACAAGCGTGAGCCACCATGCCCGGCACCATTTGCTTCTTAAGTGTTGGTGGGCCCTTTGCTATTGGCTGCATTTGGCAAGAAATGAGCTGTGTTCAAAGGCAAGAATGGGAGAGATTGAGTCTAGAAACGTGCAGATTTGCTAAGCTGGAAAAGTCAAGTTATTCGGGACCTCAACAGGACATAAAATAGAGAAAAGGCCCATGAAAAGCCAATTAAAATTCAACCTCTTGGCAAAGCATGCTTGAATTCGAATTCTGGCTCTACCACCACTTGTGTGAACTTGAGCAAGATGCCTTTCTGTATCGCGGATTCCTCATATGTAAGATATCTACGGACTGGGTTAATCATCAGGATTAAATTAGTAAACACAAGAAAAATACTTACACTGCCAGGCATAGTTCAAGGCTCAATTATAGTCAGTCACTATTAAGCAAAAAAAAAAAAAAAAGGGGGGGAGTGGTGGTAGGATGGCTTCATGAAAGTTCAGGGATTTTTGCTCATTTTTACCACTTTCACAACGGACTTTTCTTAATGGTTGGCGGGACACCTGAATGATGGATGTTTCCACTTGACTGTGTCACAGACAACATGTCCAGAGCTCAGCCCATCATGTTCCCCCTCCCGTGTTCCCTCTTACCCCAGAAGAGGGCACTAACATCTTCCCCGTCACTTGGCTAATCCTTGCCTCCTTCCTGTCCCTCGTGGCCCCAATTCCTGCCTATTTTGCGGCCTAAACAGATCTTGAATTAATCTTTCCTGCGTTTCCACGCCCACTGCTTAGAGTCCCTCATCTCTTGCCATTTCATCAATGGCCTCCATCCTCGATGCGTGAGTCTAACTTCACGCCATCCCCGTCCCTGGGGAGCTGCTCCGACTACAGACGCGCAGGCTCCCGCAGACCTGCTCATCGCTGTCCAGGGCGGCCTGCGGGATCTCCCAGGGGCCCTGCCGCCGCGATTCGGGCACTTCCCGTCGAGCGTTCGCTGCGAACTAGGCCGCGCGGCCCCGGAGCGCACGGACCAGCGCGCGGGCGGCCAGAGGGAGGCACCCCGCAGGACTGCCCGCCGCCCTGGCTCCTCAGGTCCAGCTCGGGTCACGCCGGCTCCCAAGCTGACTAGCTGGCCGCTGCCAGACAGCAGCCCTGCTCCGAAGAGCGAAGGTCAGCGGGCTCCCCCGGAAGTGAAGGAGCGAGGATCCCCGGGCCCGGGAGACGCCTCTCCTAGCGCGCAGTTGGCGGGACGCTCTGTGACGCCCCAGGCCCCGCCCCCTCCAGTCACCTGACCCCGCGCAGCCCCGCCTCCCCCGGCTGTCCTGTGAACTGGGCGGATTGGCGATTGGCGGGTGATTCGCTCAGCCAATCCAAGCGCGCCCAGGCGTCGCGGCCCCGCCTCCTCCACTGCCCTCAGGTTTAGCTGGAAGAAAGCAGAAGCCTCTACCTTGGCGGGAGAGGATGGAGGCAGAGGCGGAGGCGGAGGCGGCGGCGGCGGTGGTGGCGCCGGGGAGGGAAGCCCCGGCGAGGACGGCGAGTCAGCCCAGCGGCTGCGGAAAACACAACTCGCCGGAGAGGTGCGCGCCGTCAGCAGAGGGCGGGGGAGGCGGCCGGCGTCCGTGCCCGGTTGTGCCGTGGGGGGACGGAGGGGGCGGCCGGCCGGTGGCCGCTCTCGCGTGGGGGCGTCCCGCGAGGTCCGCCTAAGTCAGGGATGCGAGCTTCGAGGAGGAGCCCGGGAAGTGACCCCCAGAGAGGTGACTTTGGGGCCGAAATTCGAGTGACTTCCAGGGGTGAGGTTTGCAGGTTCTGGGGAAGCGGAGCCTGCCGGCAAAAGGGCACAGCAGAAGGGAAGGGCAGAGGACTTGGAGGTGACCTGGCAGAGCCCCTGAGCCCGGGCAGAACTTCGGGGTTCATTCGGAGCCGTATCGGGCCTCGGAGGTCGATCAGGGCGCGAGGCGATGTGTTTTGAAGGAGTCCTTCTGGCTGCTTCCTATAAAGTAGGGGCGCAGGTAGGCGTGGGACCGGGAAGGAAGCCGGGAAGCCAGGTGGGGATCGTGTAACAATCTAGGAAGGAGCCGTGGTGGGCGCCGAGAAGGGGATGCGGTGGTGGGGAGCTGGCGCACTGGCGCAGGTGAAAGGAATAATTAAGAAGGATTCTCCCAGGCCCTGGCCCAGCTGCAGGAAACTGGGGATGGCCACACTTGTTAACGGCAGGAGGCAGGGGGTGTGCATTTTCTTGTTGGTGTGTCTTCTCTCTCCAGATCCCTCTTTTTCCTTTTTGTGAGCTCATTCGCTCCCATGCTTAGAATATGAGGGGTCTAGGCCTAAAGCACGCACATTTGGCATTCTGCCTTGGTTGGAACAAAGTGAAGGGATCTGGGAAAATATTCCCGAGGGAATCAGTGGAGCGAGATTCCAAAGACTTTTTATTTATTTATTTATTTATTTTTATTTTTTGAGATTGGATCTTGCACTGTTGCCCAGCCTGGAGTGCAGTGGCGTGATCCCAGTTCACTGCAACCTCTGCCTCCTTGGGTTCAAGCATTTCTCTGCCTCAGCCTCCTGAGTAGCTGGGATTATGGGCGCCCGCCAGCATGCCCGGCTAATTTTTGTATGTTTAGTAGAGACGGGGTTTCACCATCTTGGCCAGGCTGGTCTTGAACTCCTGACCTTCTGATCCACCCACCTGGGCCTCCCAAAATGCTGGGATTACAGGCGTTAGCCATCGCGCCCGGCGACTTTTTATTTTTTGGTTATGAAGCTAATAAAATTGAGCCTGCTCATCCAATATTGGTAGCACCTTAAGGAAGCAGCAAATAATGAAGCAAAGGAATGTGTAAAATATTAATCTGAAATTCGAGGCATAGATTTGTTCAGCCCAGCAGCAGATTGAAGAGCTATAGTCACTCAACAAACACTAGCTAGCCTGAGTTATTTTGGATGCTTATTTATAGGAAGGAAAAACAGACTTAAGGGCACATGCAAAGTCAAGCCAGGCTGGGAGATTCCTGGGGCTATTAATACTAGTACCAGAGTGCTGGAGGATGGCAAGTCAAACTTGCCAAAGCCTTGTACCTATTGAGTGATTTTTTTTTTTTTTTTCCTAATTGAGACAGAGTCTCACTCTGTCACCCAGGCTGGAGTGCAGTGGCTCACTGCAACATCCACTGCCCTGGTTCAAGTAATTCTCGTGCCTCGGCTTCCCAAATAGCTGGGATTATAGGCATGTGCCACCATGCCCAGCTAATTTTATTATATTTTTAGTAGAGATGGGGTTTCACCATGTTGGCCAGGCTGATCTCGAACTCCTGACCTCAGGTGATCCACCCGCCTTGGCCTCCCAAATTGCTGGGATTACAGGCATGAGCCACTGCACCAGGCCTGTTGAGTGATTTTGAACAGAAAAGATGCTTCATTACAACTAATGCACACCTGTCCACACCCTGTGGCTTAACCACCACAGTCATTGTATCTGGGTTTTCATGTGGATTGGTATAAGCACTGTTTATTTAAAAATGAGGTCAATGAATATCAGGCAGGACTACTACTACATATTTTTCTAAAGGCTTCCAAAGGTTTTGGATATTAGTAAAAAGATATACAGGTAAATTTTACTAAGTGAGGGATCTTTCAGGGAATTTGTACTTCCTGTTGCATTTATTTAGTCATATAAAAATCGGGGCTCTGCTGTGTGGCAGCTATGGGCTTCAGCACTGGTGACAGGGCAGTGAGAAAAAGCCCACATCCCGATGGAGCCAGACTTCTGTCACTCTGTGAAGATGAACAGTAAGGGGACAAGTCCAGTGTGTCAGATGATGATGCTGCCTGAAAAGGAAGAAGGGAAGGGGACCTGGAGGCTGAGGAGGGAGGAGGGACATGGGTGGCTGCAGTTTTGTGGGGTTTTTATTTTTGTTTTTCTGATATGGAGTCTCACTTGGTCACCCAGACTTGAGTGTAGTGGAATGATCTTGGTTCACTGCAACCTCCGCCTCCTGGGTTCAAGTGATTCTCCTGCCTCAGCCTCCCAAATAGGGCTCATTTTTGTATTTTTAGTAGAGATGGGGTTTCACCATGCTGGCCAGGCTGATCTCAAACTCCTGACCTCAAGTGATCCACCTGCCTTGACCTCCCAAAGTGCTGGGATTATAGACGTGAGCCACCACACCAGGCCAGCTGCAGTTTTAAACAGAGCTGCAGGGCAGGGGGTCTCACAAGAGGCCTAAGCCGGAATAAAGACCTAAAAAAGTAAGGTGGGGGCAGGACACAGTCTTTCTGGGCAAAGAAACAAAGTGCAAGGTCTGGGGCCAAAGTTCACCTGCCCCAGGGAGAAGCGCAGGTCACCATAGGCCCCGCAGAATATCGCAGAAATGGGTGTGGGGAAATAAGGCAAACCTCTGATGAAGTTAAAACAGCAGACAGGAAAATTCCCTTGGGAATCTGCAGCTGTTTCCCTCCTTCCATAAGGAAGAAGCCATCGATCCGCCCTTTACAGCAGCAAATGGGTAATATGGGCTCAGCACACCATTAATCCTACCAAGGGGTAGAAAGAATCATCCTGGCCAATATGGTGAAACCCCGTCTCTACTAAAAATACAAAAAATTAGCTGGACGTGGTGGCACATGCCTGTAATCCCAGCTACGTGGGAGGCTGAGACAGGAGAATCGCTTGAACCCAGGAGGTGGAGGTTGTGGTGAGCCAAGAATGCACCATTGCACTTCAGCCTGGGCAACAAGAGCAAAACTGTGCCTCAAAAAAAAAAAAAAGAATGTTTGTTATTGGAGATTAGGTCTGGCTGTGTCGCCCAGGCTGGAGTAAGTGGTGATTCATAGGTGCCATCATAGCTCACTGCAGCCTCAAACTTCTGGCCTCAAGTGGTCATTCTACCTCAGCCTCCCCAGTGGCTGGGACTACAGGAACAATCCACTGTGCCCTGTTAGGAAGAAATTTTGAAAACCTAAATGAAAGGTTTAGGGTTTGCCACATTGTTGAGTTTATGGTTCGTAATTTGTGGAAACCTACAGGCCACTGGCAGGCTTCACTCAGGTCCAGAACAGGATTTCTCCCGGAGAGCTATTCCCAAACTTTGCATGAGACAATGCCTGTCATTGGCATTTAATTATTCTCCACATTTTCAAGTTTAATACATCAGAAATTTCACTTTTACTATAGGAGAGACTGGATACAAGGCAACGTGCAGAAGATTAGCCAGAACAGACCAACAAATCCTATCAATTATAAAAGAAATTGGCAAAAACTAGATCATTAGAAATGATGCATATGTTTTCCATAAGTAGTGCAGATCTGGAGATGCATGAGTGCAGCTTGTGGATGCCTGCAGTGCTCGTTGCAGAGGACCGCCGTGCCCTTGACACCATTTGCCCCTGCCAACAGCATAGACATAGAGCAGCCGTGTTTCCCGTATGGCATCTCCTTTTCCTTAATGGGTGTCTTTCTTCCCTTCAGGAAGGTTTATATGGACTATAATGCAACCACTCCCCTGGAGCCAGAAGTCATCCAGGCCGTGACCGAGGCCATGTGGGAAGCCTGGGGAAATCCCAGCAGTCCTTATCCGGCAGGTAATTCTGGAAGATGCACATGTTCACAGATGGGAGATAAGGGGGCCAGGGCGCTCTTAGAGCAGTTGCATACCCACATGTGATGGCTTTGTTTTCAATAGATTTCTGTTAGCTGCAAATCTTGAGCTGTAATTTTTTGATAGTTTCTTTTCTGAGAAGTTCACATTTGTAACCTGAGCCTCGCTGATCCTGTACTCTTTAATCTTTAATGTTTAATCTTTATCATGCTGTCCTCACCCTTTCCCAGATGAGAAAGGTGTCTGTTGGGAGTTCCTTGTAGTAGCAGTCAGTACCTGCTGCACGCTTCACGGATCTAACTTAGTCAGTCCTTACAGAGTCTGCAAAATAGGTCTTTTAGGTCATCAGGATAACATACAATCCTGGCCCTTTTTAAAAATGAAAATTACTTATTAATTACTTTAGTTATAAATATTCTTATTTGTTTAATCTTGTAGAGCGTTAAATTGCAGGTTCTGGAGAATAATTTGCTTCAAGTCAGTTATATGGCAGAATTAAAATCTGTTTTTCAGGCAGATGAGCAAGCTAAAGTCTTACCTTTCTTATTTAATGTTTTTTAGGAATAATTAAGATAAACTATGTTAACTGTGGATTATGATGAACTAAAATAAATTCAGACAGAATATTGCCAAGCCATACAATTTAGTAACATTTGTGTACAATTTACAGAGTTTAATATGTTCTCATATCCATTTGCTTATTCAAAGTTTCACAGCAACTTAATAACAAAGCCTTTCAGCTCAGATGCTAGTCACTCATTAACTTATCTGTTGGCTTATTTGTTGGTCTGTTCTTGCTAATCTTCTGCACGTTGCCTCGTATCCAGTCTCTCCTATAGTAAAAGGGAACTTTCTGATGTATTAAACTTGAAAATATGGAGAATAATTAAATGCTGACGACAGACGTTGCCTCATGAAAAGTTTGGAGTAGCTCTCAGGGAGAAATCCTGTTCTGGACCTGAGTGAAGCCTGGCGGTGGCTTGTAGGTTTCCACAAATTACAAACCATAAACTCCACAATGTGGCAATTCACTTTCTGTCGCTACTCAGAAATGCAAAAGAAAATTAATTTCTCATAGAGTGGTTTAATTATTTTCACAATATTATTTAAACATTATTTAATAATATTTAAATATTATTAAAGTCTTAGAGGGGAATTTATTTTAAGGAAAATGTTGAGGATGTGGGGAAAGATTTTACGTACCTAAGATATTTATCACAGTCTTGCTTATAATAGCAAAAAGAAAAAAAAAACTGGAAATAAGCTCAGCATTCGTGAATTGAGGGTGGATAATAAAGTATGTTGGAGCCCCACAGGAAGCGCTGAACCCTGCCAAAGCAGTGGCGTGGACTCTAGCCATGACCTAGCCAGAAAATATTGGCATCTGGGTCAGGTAGATAAAGCATGTTACTGTCAGGGCGTGGTGGCTCACACCTGTAATCCCAGCAATTGGGAGGCCAAGGCAGGCAGATCAACTGAGGTCAGGAGTTCAAGACCAGCCTGGCCAACGTGGTGAAAACTCATCTCTACTAAGAGTACAAAAATTAACCAGGCGTGGTGGCATGTACCTGTAATCCCAGCTACTGGGGAGGCTGAGGCAGGAAAATCCCTTGAACCTGGGAGGTGGAGGTTGCAGGGAGCCAAGTCAGCTCCCCACTGCACTCTGTCTCAAAAAAATCAAGAAAAAAAAGCATGTTATTAAAAGGGATGTGCAAAATGACTTTATTATTTCCCCTCCCACCTCCCCTGGTAGAGAAAACCTTGTGTATGGGCAAGCGTGGAAAATTATTAGATCGCTTAGCTGTGAGAGAACACCCAGAGTGACGGTGGCTTAAGCAGCTTGCACTTTCCCTCACTCAGCCTGGGGCCGGCCATGTGGCTCCTCCAGTGCCTCACTGTGTTGCCCAGGCTGGTCTTGAACTCTTGGTCTCAAGTAATCCACCCACCTTGGCCTCCCAGAGTGCTGGAATTACAGGCGCCAGCCACTGAACCTGTCCACTGTTGCGCTATTATCAGGGACTCCGACTTCTGTCCTATTCCTCTTCCATCCTCTTGACACTCACCTTGACCCTCAAAGTCAAGATGGCTGCTCCAGCTCAAGCCATCATGACCCAGTCCCGCGTGTCGGGAAGAGAGAGGAGGGCTTGAGTTCTTCAAGGTGCTTCTGGGAGTTGTGTGTAAGTTGGCCTAGAAATTGGCCCTATGGCCATGTGTCATTGCAGTGTTGGGACATGGGGCCTTAATTCTGAACAGCTGGGACCAGTTGGAAACGAGGCCCTGCCACCATAGTAGGCAGGGAGACGGGCGGTGAGGACGACTGGCTGCCCAGCGCAGGTGACAGCACTCCAAATACACTCACGACAGTTATCTTTGAGGAGGGGAATCATGGGAGGTTTGGGGTATTTTCTTTTTGTTTCCTGTTTTTAAAATTTATCAATAATTGGCATGCATACTGTTATGAAAATAGATGTTTACCAAATCCAAGGTTTAGGAAGACATCTCTTTTAAACTATGGGGCAAATTTTAGCTGTGTGTTAATTGCAAACATTGGATTCCCTCCAGCTTCCTGTCGGGCCTCTCCTGTCCTCACGTTGAAATAGCAAGTGCATGCTGTCCTGAGGTGTGCCTTGGCACCCCTGTCCCAGTCATCTGTGCTTTTCCAGACGAGCGCCCTTTGACTGGGAGTCGGCTGGGACAGTGCCATGGAATTCGTGCTGTGGGTGAGCTCTGTGGTGCTTTCCCACGTATGTTCTTAGTGAGTGCTGTGAGGCAGGCAGGCGGGGCTTTTGTTTAGGTTTGCAGGTGAGGCATCTGCTCTCAGGGCAGTTTAGGGGTCTGATCGCCATGGGACCCAGCTCTTTCAGCTGTGGCTTCTGGGCTTTCCCACCATGCCCCCGCTTCCTGCAGTCAGCAGTGCTCTAGGGCCTGTGCCAGTCGTGTCTTCCAACGCTCTCAGGTGGCAGCTCTGTGAGATCTTGTGAGACTTGGACTCTTGTGTCAGGGACTCAGGCCCTGCTTGGGGAGGTATGAGGTCGTATGCGCAGGCTCCAGCAGCACTGTATGCGCTACACTGTGGCCGTGAGCAGAGGGGACAGAAACAGATGCAGCACCTGTCCCTTAGAGCTTTCCTTCTGGCAGGGTGCACGGGCAGGGAACAGGCAAAGAACAAATCAACGAATCTGAGTATGTGAGTAAAGAGCCGTCCTGGGGTGGGGGGAACAGTGGAGCAGTACCACGGAGGGGAAGGGCTGGAGCATGGGCTGGCCTGGGAGGCCCCTCCGGGACCTGGCATTTGCCCAGTCGAGAAGCTCAGCGTGTGGGTAGTGACAGGGGATGGGCCTGTGTGGCCACTGCAGAGGGTTGTGGGGTGATAGGGATGGAGTCTGAGAGGTTTGGGGACAGCACTGTGTAGGGCCGTGGAGGCATCTGTGCGGGCCCTTGTCCCTGGGAGTGAGAGGAGCGTACTTGGAGGAGAGCAAGGGGTGACGGGATTCCTGCAACCCCTTTACATGCAGAAATGATGAAGGGCCACAAGGAGCTTTTGTTTACTAGGCATTTAGCAATTCGTTTAAAATAGTAATACTTTGATTACATGTATACTTTTTTATGAAAAATAAGCTATCTTCAGCAAAACGTAAGAGACCTAGTGAGTGTGGCACTGTTGTTGCGTGGAAGTCTCCTTACTGCCTGTTGCTGGAAGACAGCCAGTGCTCAGACTTCCCGGTCCCACCGGCTGCAGTTGCCATGTCGTCATAGTGCCAGAAGCCTCTGGAAGCGTCACCGTATCCCTGTGAGAAAAGGAGCATGCAAAAGGCGGGTGATATCTTAGTAACATCATGAAAACAGTTTTGACTTTGTGGACCTCGTGAGAACACCTTGGGGTTTTGGGAACCACTGACGTGAGCAGCACTGACGGAGCACTTTCTGTGTATTCAGCACCGGCCCAAGATGTATTTGGGTTTCTGAGACATTGCCTCATCCACTCTGTGGAGAATGGACCCTAGTGGGGTCCATGGACTTTGGGGGGCCTGCTAGGAGAACATCGCAGCAGTGGCCTTGGCTTGGTTGGTGGCTGGGCGGTAGAGAGAAGTCAGGTTCAGAGCGTCTTTTGAACATAGCCTACAGCATTTGCTGGTGGATTAATGGCGGGGAATGAGAAGGGAAAGAGCCCACGGTTTTGCCCTGGGCTGCTGAGGCTTGGAGTTGCCATTTCCCAAGTGTATTAGTCTGTTCTCATGCTGCTAATAAAGACATACCTGAGACTGGGTGATGTATGAAGGAAAGAGGTATGATGGACTCACAGTTCGCCATGACTGGGAAGGCCTCACAATCATGGCAGAAGGGGAAAGAGCAGCAAAGTCACGTCTTACATGGCAGCAGGCAAGAGGGCGTGTGCAGGGAAACTCCCATTTATAAAACCATCAGATCTCATGAGACTTACTGTCATGAGAACAGCAAGGTTAAGACCTGCCACCGTGATTCAGTTACCTCCCACCAGGTCCCTCCGATGACATGTGGGGATTATGGGAGCTAAAATTCAAGATGAGATTTGGGTGGGGACACAACCAAACCATTATCCTGAGAGAAGGAAGGCTGAGAGAGGCATGACGGTGACAGTTTATTATGGTGACGTTTAGTGTCACCAAGTAAAACAATGGGGCTTTCCTAAACACCATAGGCCTTAGGTGTGTAGGAAACTGCTTTTAAAACTGAATCTACACAGTGGCATGAAGGGGCGGCAGGATCATTTCACGTTACTTTACCTGAGCTTTTCGTATTTCTCTTTTTTAATGATGTTTTGTGATATATTAGTATACGTTTTGGTAGTGGCTGCTCAATTT